GATATTCAGTTTTAAGGCCGATACCGATAGGGGGCCGATTATATCGTGCATCCCTAATTATTTGCATGGATATAAATATGTCTTAATGCTCCGGTCATTTTTTTAACAGTTATTTAGGACTGTAAAATACTGAAACAAGAATGAAAAATTATTTAAATAAATTTGTGCTGAAACTTTAATTTAGTTTCAGTTTCAGATGATTTCTTTCCGACATATTGAGCTAAGCGGGCTCTCGTCAAAGTGTACCTGTGCTGCTGGTGATGTTTGGAGACCTCTTTGTGGAAGTCCTGTGGAGGGTTTGGGATGAAGCAGAAGTCCGACAGGTAGCCAGGAGGATGCTCAGCTTCATTGTAGTCCCCCAACTCAGCTACAGGGCAGTCACAACACATGACTTTTAATAAAACAACACCAGAAAAAATGAGGACAAACAGATCTTAGCTTTTTCCTCTAGTTGGAGAATGTCTCTGGATAACAAAAGAAACCAAACTTTTACTAATCTTAATTCATAATGTAAAGCAGTTTCCGATCTTTAACAGTCCTTCGGTAATTAAAGACTGAAATGTCTGTTTCCAAGTACATGAAAGGGATTTCTATTCCCAAATTAACTTTTTTAAACTGTCCAACATCTTCCAAATAAAGTGGGTTTTTAAACATGACCCTGTTTCTAAGCTCTAGCTGATCGATGATTAGCTCTGAGATGTTACAGCGAGTTTTTCAGTTTAGACCTCTTACATCATCATCTTCTTTTGTTTTCACTTAGAACAAAACCAAATAAAAACCATTCATCTCTGTTGTCTTTCACCATTTCAACTGATTATGGCTCTGCATAAAGAAAATCTATCAATCATTTTTATCATCTGGGCCGGCTGGCTAGCACATGATTTGTAGAAAAGCCTCAAAAGCCTTCAGAAAAAACCAAAAACACACCAGCTAGACTAACTTCCACTGAAAACAAATTCAGCGAATGAGATTCACAGAAACAGTCAGTAGGAAATGTTTCCAGCATTTCGACATTTTATATCGGCACCAAACCACAGCTGTGCTTTGTTACAACATCTGTGAATTTTTTTGTGTAATCCACTCTGAGGTGTCAGCTGTTTACACAGCAAGAGCAAACATATAAAGAAAACTTCCCTCAACATTTTCTAAGTAGAATCATTAAAAAAGGAACTGCACACCTAGATAAGATAAGATAGGATAAAAGCGGAGTGGTAGAGTCGAAAGATTAAAATCAGGCACAGCTATCGTGGGAGATTTATGTACACTCATCTTGGGCATCAACAAGCTTGAGTTTAAGCCTTTAAATATCACTGTACTCCACTATTTTCACACGGTGTGCACAACAAAGTGCTGCTGAAAGCACTAGAATATATATTTTACCCCAATGATTAAGATCTAGATAGAGATCCATAACAGTCTGAAGTTACAGGTCTCTCTTTGCTTTCATAGAAAAGGATAAGACGGCTTTAATTGAACGCTCGAGCAGCGCAAGGTCTCATTGGTGATCTAAGCCACTGTGTGTCACTTCTAAGTAACTCCAAATTTCCAGATCATGAAGAGGAACAGTGCTGTAATACAATAAAAGTCTAAATAAAGATTCCTACAGTCACCCTTAGAAGGAAGGAAATTAGTCAGGAACAATTAAAACTCAAGTTTTTCCAATGAACTGGAAACTGCTGGGCCATTTTAACATCAACATGAATGAGCTGATGGTTCCTTCATTCATATAAAATCCCACCTTCCACACAGAGCTGGGTATACCTGTAGTCAGGATCGAATAGAGATCAGTTGAGATTCTTTACAAGGGAATAAAACATATTGATCATAACGAAAGAAATTGTGTTTAAAGGAGTCAATGTGATGCTTCCCTGGGGTGTTTAAGCGTGGCGACTTCATTATCCTCTGGGGTTCTACACTGGGTCAATGAAAGGCAACCTCTAAATCCTTCAATTCTGTTCAAATCGAAATCAGTCGATCCAAAACCAATTTTTTTTAAAAAGACTGAGGATTAGGTCCTTTTTGAGAAATCAATTAAAAACGTATACCGTAAATTCCGGACTATAAAGCGTACCTGATTACAAGCCGCACGCTCTAATTTTAGAAAGAAAATCAATTGTGTACTTTTATAAGCCGCACCGGATTTTACGCCGCAGGTTTCCCACGTTGTATGAGATATTTACAAATGAAGATATTACACGTGAGCATTTTTTAATGTTTGATTTAATCCGTATGATAAAACAAACAAATACGGTACATATTATGATTGCTTTTTTTTTTTTCCAAACTACCTGTAACACATTTAAATATACGTATGTGTCGGTAACACGCAAATAACGCTGCATATACCGGTACTTTTAATTGAACAACGCACAGAACATTGCAGCCGACCAGAAAAAGTCATTAATCACTTTCTTCTTCCTTGTGCACACTAAAACCCTCAAAGTCCTCTTCCTCTTTCGCGCCATGAAAAAAAAAACATGTATTAGCCGCACTGTATTATAGGCCGCAGTGTTCAAACAGCGGGAAAAAAGTAGCGGCTTATAGTCCGGAATTTACGGTACTTGTTAAGAATACGTTGTATAATTTTGCAACCATGACAGTTGCAGATATCCTGATGGCGGTGAGAAAAGGACATTTGTGGTTTTCTACGTCCTTTAGAGGACTGCAACCGTTTCCTGAATGACTCTAACTGCTAGGGCTAACTAAAATTATCATAGCAAAGCAAAAGGTTGTAGCTTAAGAGTTTCTTCTTCCTTCTCAATGAACCAATTGTAAGATATTGTTCTTGTTTTTACACATAATGCTTTTTACAATCTTAACAGCAATGGCTTAACAATTTAAGACCAGCCATTATTATTTTGGGACTTTCTTGTATATTAAGATAATTATATCTAATGAAGTGAGGAATCCAACTTTAACTTGAAAAAAATAAGAAACCCATTTTTTTAACTGCAAAGTAATGAAAAGTGCAGTTTGAGGACAACAAACAGAACAAATGAAAAGACTCTTGATAGCTTTCAGGACCCACAGGGATGGGGAGCTGAAAGTGGATCCCATTAACTCACTCTCTTTTAGCTGAAGCTTAAAAACATCAATTCGCTCAAGTAGTCCCTTGACTGACCTACAAGCTGGTAGCCTAAGCATACTGAAAAACAAATCAATTGCAGCTCAGACCTTATTGATGCGTATGCACCACCAGGGGCATACACCGTTCAGCTTCAACATTTAGTCACCTAACAGGTGAGAAAGAGGAGCACTGACTATCTGGTCATTCAGGCATCTGATAAAAGGTTTGGTCTCACACATTAGGCGATAAATCGGAACCTAAATGAGAAGTATGTACAGTGGATGGACAACTTAGAAAAGCAATTACTTTTAAAGCCTGGCTGCAGAATTATTTTTAACTTCAAATTATTTCTACAAACTCCTGCGTCTACATAAATGACTGTTAAAAGATGAAAACCGGGCCTTCAAGGACTATTATGGAAATCATGCATCAGAGCAGGGCAGCATAATGGAAAGCTATAACCCTTGGAGGGTTTTAATGTTGCCGATCTAGTTTTTCAAAAGTGGTACATGTCGGGACCTATATCCAATGGTTGCCGTCCAGATGGAAACTCAAACCATTCATCTTCTTCTAATGAGTGAACTCGCAAAGGCTGAGCATAACCAGCTGCTGGAACGTCACCTTTCAACAAAAACGGTTTTGCAGAGCGAAGAAGTGGTAATTTACCTAAATTATTGAATCCTTAGAAAGCAAAGAGATGCGCCTTCTTACAGATATAGGCATAAATAGACATGCACCGTCTTATATTAGAAATATGATCGTTCCTTATGTTCCTAAAAGAGCACTTAGCCCTAAATCTGCAGGTTTACTAGTAGTTCCTAGAATTTCTTAAAGAATGAGAGGTAGATCTATACTGGTAGATCAACTACCAGTTTTAGTCCATGAGGCAGACACCCTGACTACTTTAAGACATGGTTTAAAACGTCCTTATAGTTAGAGTGGCTGAGGTTATCCTAAGCTACCGGTATCTCTATAGTTATGGTGCTATAGGCTTAGTCTGCTAAGCCTATAGTCTGCAGATATTTTTACAGTGGTTAAACTTCAACTATGAAATTAGAACTGAACTATATTGAGGGACAGATTACAATCGCTTTTAGGTCTAAACATGTTAACAACCCAAACTGAAAATTAAAATATCAAAATTCTAAATGATGCTTATATAAAGTGGATCCAACTTTGTATGCATCAAAGAAAATTAACAGGTTTATTCCATCGGTTTCAACCGTTATCAGCGTAAAATATAGAAGAAAGAAAGAAACAATGAATCTAATGAAAGGAGGCGTTTTCCAGTCAATCTACAGAGATGAGACAAACCGGGCCAAATTCTGAAACAGAAACTATATTTCCATTTAACTACATGTTTTCCCTGTTTAGGAGAGGCCTATTTCTTTCTACAGCTTTGGAGTCAATCATAAAACTGGAATTTAGGTCTACCAGGAGGGATTTCAAATCTTCTGAAAATGCAAGCTAGAGTGTAGGATTTGGAGTCAGCAGTGCTGGCAGTCGAGCTGAATTAGCAGCATAGCAGCTGCTTCAAGCCATTTTTTTCTCCCCAAAAGCAAACATTTATCTCCATGATCTGTGTTGGCTTGTGAAGAGTGACAGCATGGACCCAACAACAGTATGTGTGTGTCAGTGTAAAAGCCGTAGGGTCAGAGCCACGAAGGTCTAGGTCAAATCTCTTGTTTGACCTATATACTGAGGCTGTGGAGATTCAGGGCTCAATGTGCCATAGAGGGAGGGGAACACAAGGGAGGCAGAGGGAGCAGAGGGGCTAGAGGGAGGAGAAGTAACTATAGCCAAAATGGCCTGATGAAACCTGGCTACAAAGGAAACAAAGCGGCTAAAAGGCTGCATGAAAACAATGACCGAAAATGAAGGATGATGGAAGACAGGGTATAACAAGCTGATCTATAGTTTCACAAAGTCTTATTATAAAAGTCAAAGAAAACAAAATTATCTGTTCCAACAACAAGATAAAAACAATGTTAACAGGATTCTTAAAACACAGCATTTTGTTATTTTACCAGTCACTTTCAATAAAAAAAGCCTGAAATTATAAATCAAATAGATTTCACTTTCACTCTAAAGATAAAATATAGTAATTCAAATATATATATAAAAATCTCAGAATTTTTTGCAGTGATCTCTGAATTTTGTTGCCAGAGCTCCATGGCAACACTGATGGCTTAACTATAACAAACAGACTATAAGACAAACTGTATAGTAAACCTAAAAATATATTTATACCTCTAACAGATTTTGGTTAAAAGCAACTTTTAGCCACAAGCGAAGCTACACCTGGAAGTTGCAAGTTTAGCTCTCCTGAAAACAACCTTTAAAAGGCAGCTATGTTAGCAGTTTTAAAATGCTATTCACAGCACTGTTGCAAAATTAAACTCTGTGTTTCTGAGACGAAAAAGTCATGGAGTAACTGGTAGAGACATATTCATCTCTTTAATTAAATCCTAAATGCAAAGTATCATATCTTTTTTAGTTGGCTAACAAAACTTTTATCCTAGCGCTTTTGTTTTAGGGAAGCTCAGACTGCTTTAACTTTTCACATGCTAGTTTTCAATACATTTTTAAAGGCATTTTTCTATTATTTTCATTTAGGAAATACAATAGAAAAATTCCTAACCAGAAATAAGTTTGTTTATAAATCTGCAAAGGCTATGAATATTTTTAGGCTTTACATACGTCTTTAAAGATGTCAGAGACCTACTCTCTGCTACCACTATTTTACTTTATCTAATATATATGCCTACCAACTCAGTTTGTATCTGTTTGCCAAAAATGCACAAGCTTGCAGATTTAAGATGGAATCATGAACACTGAGCATCAGCTCAGCAGTTAGTCAAACCGAGCCAATTGATCTGCAGCCATCCGTTGATCCATTACTGAAGGTCGACTTTAGAGAAAACCATTATCACATCCAATATTTATATAACCGATGGTAACATAAGATCCCACCACACCGCACAGCTTTAAGAAAGTCTCCATGGCTTCAGAGCAGCAGTTGTAAAAACACTCCAGCAACCGCATTATTACATTTAACAATGTGTGTAGCGAAGAGGAGAGCCCTAATGAATCGCCTTTTCATTGTAATGTGTAAATGGTGTATCCAGGGAGCAATACTTACACTGAACAGCATAGGATGCCAGCAGTGCAGCTGTGTTGTGAGGGCAAGGTAATCTGAAAACACACAAAAATAAATAAATAAATACAAAACATATAGTTTAATGATTTTTTTTTTGCACACATCAAGATTTAAGATGCAACTCTCCTCAGAATATGTGAGAATTAAAGAACTATAACCAAACAATTTATCTTAAAAAGCATCAAATTTAGCATTAACTCTGTATATAAAACCATAGCCTCATCAATAATGAACCTAAATTTACATTTAATCTGTTTGCAAGTAAAATGATTAAGCTTTATCAGGCAGAATGATGTCAGATGTGCTCACCTTCCAGTTAAAATATCTTGTTTGATCTGCAGGAAATACTGGTACCTGAGGGAGAAAAAAACACAGCATCATCACAACAGCTGATCAAACAATCATGTTCATTAGACATAAGGGAAAAAAAAAATTTTTGGTGCAAATTCTAGTTCACAACGTTGATCAAACGGTGAGGACAATAAAGATGCAGTGGGAATTATGTCAACAGCTAAAATCCACTCTTACCGTGTGTATTCTTCCTGAAGTTTACTCGGGTCGGTCACAAAGAATTTGACTCTGAAGCTCAGGTTATGTGGAGACCCTCCTGCGGGAATTAGGATCAACAGTTATGAGGCAAATCCAAGGATCAATAAAAACATGACAGATTTGGTCGGCGGTTACACAGATCAAACCATCTATCATATCAAAAATGTGTCTTCAGTTGGTGAGTCAATCAGATGTGATAAAAACAAGAGTTGAAGTACAGTTCAATCATTGCTGCAGGATGACTGCCGGTGCCACTTGAGCTATTCCTTAATTGTTCTGCGTGTTACAAATTCTATTACTCATGATCAAAAAAACCAGCAGAGTTGAAATGGAGTTTAATCATTCCTCCAGGCTTTCTCAGAATGGTAAATTACACCGTGGACTGGAGACTTTTGCTGGAGGCAAAGTGTGGATTGTTAAACGTTACAGAGACTAAACTGCAGATTGGGCATCATAAAAAACAAGTGATCGGGTTGAAATTGAGCCAAATGAAGATTTTCTAATACGATCATGTTAATGCAGTGGATACGTTCAGGTGCTGTGTGGTGGATTTCACCTACTTTTTAACTGTTTCCTGATGGGCTTATTGGGATCCAGCCAGCGCTGTAAAATATTGATAAGAACAGACTTGATAAGAGTCACGCTCTCTCCACAAAGGTGGATCACAGTTTAAATTATTCACCAGAGACCCCAAACACTGAAACCTGTCATAGGCCCCTGCAGATACAAACAAAACCAAAAAAAAAAACATAGCTTAGGAGAATAAAAGAATGTTTTACAAACAAAAGAGAAATTAATTATCCTACTGATACAAACATTGTGTATTTATCTATGAAGGACCATTTTTCATATCAGTTTTTGATACGTTAGCCAACAGCAAGAAAGATTATAGACAGGTAGCAAAGGCTGGTATCAAGCTGAACGTCCAACGAGGGGAAACCTCAGAGAATTTAGACATTAAGTTTAAGAAAGGGGAATTCAAAAAAACATAATTACAAAAAATGAATGCAGTAATAATAATTCTGCTATAGCTATCTGCAATAAAGTATTTCATAATATAGGATATTCAAATTTTCTGTGGGGACTTAAACTGACCCAGATTCTCTCTTTTATCCTGGTTCCTTCCCACCACCATGTTATCATCACCACTCTTTGAGCTTGAAATACTTTTATTTAGCTTTTTAAATGCACCAGAAATCTTATATCCTGCAGATTATGCAGGCAGCTGCACATACTTGAATCATGCTGATGAGATATTTATTATAAAGGTTTCGTTTTAGTAAAACTACAGGTAGTTCTTCTTAAAGATGTTTACAAACTCAAAAAGTTTTTGGCATCAATAAATTCAGGCCTTACATTTTAAAATGTGACTAATCAAAATTGATGTGCTGCTGAGCAAAAGCTTGCAACATGTGTGCTAAATGGTATTAAAAAGAAGCCTGTTTGATAAAGTAAGCTTTACTCTGGCTGGATGCAGTCAGAAATTTAAAGCCAAAAATGCTATTAGACTAGTTTTTTTTTAACCTTTATTTAAAGGAGTTTTAGAAAATACACAAAAAAAACACCAGTATACCTCATCCCTACTCTTTATTTTTTCCATAAACCATATTTCTGATTTATTATTGTTTAATTTAAAACCATTTATGACCAGGTGGGTTTTTGTCAGGATGCATAAACTGGTCTACACATATGTATTGTACATTTATTTTAAACAATACACACAAAGAGACACAGATGTAAAGATACTACTGTTAAAGGACAGAGTTTAGCCATAACACGCACGGCAGAATAAAACGGGATACTAACTGGTGCATCTGAGCCATCCTCAGCCAGGTGCAGGCCAAAGTAGTCTCTCTCAGTCAGCTCCAGGTGCTTAAACACGGCGTCCAGCAGCACCTGGCCGTGATCAGACTTCTGCAGAGGAGAAAAGAAAACAACCGATAAGCTCGCAGCTTGGCACAGTCCTTGGCAAATGGGTCTGAGAATCCCATCATGCAGCTCCCTGTTGAAAGGTCAGGAAAGGAACAGCAAGCGAGCTGAATCCCCTTTTCCCACCACAGACATCTAAATTATTTAAAACACCCTCGCTGCCTTAGAAACATTCCATCCATTTAAAATGCATCTCCAACTTGTCCGTGTTGAGCCTCATTTAATATGGTTCCGACCGCATCGGAGAGTTATATGTCTAAGGAATTAAGCTGATGAACTCCTGCGGGCTTGGATCTGTACCTTCTTCTCATGTGTTTAGGATAAAAGCAACAGCTTAAAAAAAAACAGGCTAAGATTTAAAATGATCCAGCAAACTAAACGCATAATCCAAGCAGGAGCTAAACCTGAAAGCAGAACTGAATGTGCAAGCAAAGGAGAGAAAATCCTTTGAAATTTCGATGGACTGCCGTGAACTGGATGCGATCCAGACTGGAAGAAGGGCAGACTAATGGAGGAGGGGGAAACGAAAACAAGCTAAATCTAAATCAGAGAGAAGAGAGGAAAAGAAAGAGCAGTTGAAAAAGAAGTGAGTAATATTTGATCAAATCCATCATTAAAATCTCATCGTCGTGTGAGAGCGTAGGACGGGCGAGAGGATAAACTGTGGGAACACAAGTGGAGCAGAAATTCACACCTGATCCTTTAACTTGGAGAGGGAGAAACAGAGTGTGGAACGCTGTCAGCGCTCCCACAGGAGCAATGCCACACACACACACACACACACACACAGTTGGTGCTTTCGTCCACTTCTCCTGTTTGCCCTGGTGACACAGTTACACAGTTTTACAGAGCAGGGTGTGTGAGCGAATGATAGCTGACAGTTGACATGGCAGCCCCTCTAGGAGAGCAGGCAATGTGGATGTGTGCCCGAGTGTGTGCAGTCAACAACTGTCAAAACTGAAATAGATGAACTTCAGCATTTGAATGCTTGGAGATGTGCAAAAACATCAGCTGGAAATATTTAACACATTGCAGTTAGTTCACAGTTCGTGTTTGGAAATGATTACAATTAGATGAGTGAACATCAACTTTTAAGAGTTATAATTTCTCAGATAGACTCAGGTTTGTACTTCTGGCTAGGCCATTCTAACCCATCCATGTGTTCATTTGAACCATTTTGATGAGGCTTTAGATGTGGGTTTAGGGTTGTTGCCCTGATAAAACACGGACCTCAACTACAGCCTCAAATAGGCCCTGTTTCCAGGATTGATCTGCATTTGCATCTCCAAACAAATCTGAGCTGCTTTTGCAGTCCCGCAAAGAAATGCATCCCCAAAGCAGGCAGCTATCACCACTATGTTTCACTATAAAGGTCTATATGTAGCCCTGTATACAAATCAGAGGTTACAGAGCATAAAAATAGTTTACTAGGTGATAATATATGTATAAAAAAGTTTTTAAAAAGTATTTTAAAAAACTGAGGATTGTTTTTAATTTTCTTTTTCTGGAATAAAAAAGGGTTAAAAAGTTGATTTATGAAAATGGTTAAAACGTGTGCTGGTTAAAAGCATACATACTATGTGAAAAATTTATTAAACAAGACTATTTACAGTTAAGAGAAAAGTTCATGAAAAAACGTTGTGGTGGTCATTATTGCATTAGCGAACCACACATACACATTTTATAAAGCAGCAAAAGAAAAACATATTTTTCCTACAGGCCCAGGCCCATTCTCATTGTATTAACTAATCGGATTTTATTATTTAACTACATGGAACTTGGGTTACATGTTCTGCTAGACAAAAAACACTGAAAAAAAATAAATCCATTGTGGGGTGTTGGCCTGGTGGTTAGAGCAGTCTCTAAGCAAGATCCCTAACCCCACACTACTCCCCAGGCACCGCACAATGGCAAATAATGTAAATAAGGATAATCATACTTAAAGTTTTGAGCTGCTGGATGCACACGCCTCCATCTTGCGCCTACGCTTTGCTGCTCTCTCTTACAGCTAGGCTGTGAGTGTTAGTTACTTACATGGACGTGCGTATTTACTTAGATGGACACCCAGCTAAGCCAGCTTCTCGCCGCCATACATTTAGTTGATCCTTCAGTCAAAAATAAAGAATTACTGCTCATGGCTCCTTTAAAGAACTGTTGCCAGCACACGCCAGGTGGCGCTCCATTTGGCCCACTGACTAAACTGAACTCTTGGCAGACTGTTGCTCCTCGATAGAACAAGCTTTCTGATAAACCGAGTGTGCCACAGACAGTGGAATCCTCTAAATAAAGACTGACAATACTTGTCTTCCAGGTTATATGACGATCGTTTCATTTAGCTTTTATCATTTCAGTCGGGTTTTGTTATTATTTTTTGTTACGGTTACAGTTATGGCTAAAAAACTGTACTTTTCTTCTGGTCTTATCTGACCAAAGCCCCTTCTTCCACTTCCACCGGGTCCCCCATATGGCTTGTAGCTAACTGCAAATTGAATTTCTTATTGCCTTTCTTTCAGTAATGGCTTTCTTCCACTTTTCAATACAGGGCAATTTTGTGGCGTGCACAACCAATCTTCATCCACTGAACAGATTCTCCTCCCTAAGCAGGGGATTTCTCCAGGTAGGTCTGCAGATGCACCACTGGACTGGATTAAAAAGACAACAAGATGGTTCCAGTGATTGGGTTATTAGTTTAAAAGCCAACCCTTATTGAAACATCTATGTTTTATCCCTGAGCATTTTTGATGTGTTCCTTGGTCTTTACAAGCTTGTTCACTTATATCATACCAACCTATTGATTTGTTGTTGTTTTTTTAACTTTTACATTTTGTTATCTGCAGCCTCTTGGCCAGGTCTGCCTTGAAAATAGGTTTTTAATCTCAATGGGACTATGCTGGCTAAATATAAAAGAACATACCTGAGCTGTGTCTGTGTATTTATTTACACTCTGGAGGGCACCAGTTAATGGCAAGATTATGTGTATTGCAGCTGGTTGCATTGAAGTTTCTTAAGGTATCAGATGGAAGGAGACTGAATACAAACACCTCAAATCATTTTTAGGTTTCTTTCTTTTTTTATTAAGGGTGTGTCTAGCTGTGAAGGTTGTTAGTCATCCAGGTCATACTTGTTCCAAAAAAAAAAAAAAAAAAACAATCCACTGGACTTGGTTTCTAAGTTTGAAGATGTTTTACTTCCCATCCAGGAAGCTTAAAAAAAAAAACAACAACAAAAAAAACCTTGAACTCAACGCTATTTCTGGCATTTTGAACTGAAAAAGCTTCCTGGATGGGAAGTGAAACATCTTCAAACTTGGAAACAAAGTCCAGTAGATTGTTTAATTAATTTGAAGGGGTAGAAGAAAAATAAATCATTAAAAAATATTGTTTTTTTTTTTGTTTGTTTGTTTCTTGGCCACATAATCCCAGCAAAACACAGAATGAAGATCGCACGATTTTGTTTTGCAATGCATCTAACACTTTTTTTCACTTTCCGTATCGAATCTTAGGTTAAAAATAAAGCTATAGTAAAGCATAAAGACTACAACTTTTAAGGTGTTTTTTTTATTTATTTATTTTTATTTTTTTTAACTTTTTGCAAAAATCTTATTCTTGGTTGTTTTTTTTGCTAAAACTCTTTCCTTAAGCTTTAGCACCTCAGCTCCTATGAGCTTCTAGGATATCAAGGTCTAATCTGATTGGTCAAACACTGCTGACATTTAAAAAGACAATGCCAGGTCCTGTGAAATGAAACTGCCTACACACGCGATGATGGTATATTTATATTCTCTTGTTGCTTCCCAGTTGAAAGAGAAGTAAAAGATTAAAAAAAAAAAATTATCCCTCCTATGCTCATATCCCCATGCTATCAAGACACATTTATCTCGTCTACATAAGAAAGCTGATGCTTTTCCTTTGTATGATGAAGCTTTTCAGTGGGATGTGGGAGCCCTCTGTGTTTCACACTGCGCTCCCTGAAAACGACAGCCTCTGAGAGCGCTCCAACCTAATGTGAGCCGCTGCAACAGCAAACAGCCGTATGTTGTTAAAATAAAACTGAGTCACACAGGGAAACATGTCTGCACGCAGTTGTTTTCTGGGTTTACAGAACCGACATTCTAAGAGTAGCTGATGGGTAGAGTTCACAGGGAATGTGTCACACAATGTGCACTACTAGAGACTTTCAAAGGGGGAAAAAAGGGGAAAAAAAGCAAATGAAAGAAGAAGAGACTGAGGGAGAAGACAGAAAGCATGGAAGAAAAGAGGTGATTGACGATGCGACTGGGTGAGACAAACGCTCTTTGTGCTGACTGAAAAAAGTGTCTGTGTACATGAGAGTGAGGAGAGAGGAAGGAGACATGGTGATGGAGAGCAATCGGAGCACGAGAGACTGGCTGAGAGCAAGGAGGGGTGGGCAGGAGGGAAGGAGAACGATGTGCTGATAAGTTTTATACCCTCGGGGTTTATCTTTGGCATCAAAGCAGAAAAGGATCCCCAGACGAAGCTATGGTGACACTGACGGGGGAAATCCAAGCGTTTTATGACAAAGGGATTGATGCACTTCCCTTCTGGAAGCTGGGCTGAATGTGGAGGGTGTGCTTGATTTTAGGGAGAAGGGGAAGTTCAGGAATGCCAATGGCAGCTTGTTCAGACAGGAAAAGTAGACGGTGATGCCCATTTCTCTCTCAGCTAAAGGGAATCATGGCTAGTTTATAAATAAATTTACTTATCAGTGAATTGATTTATATCTTTATATGAAAAGCACATCTTCTACCCTTATCACTGGATCTATTGATTCTTTTAAACCCTATCCTTCCTCAGATCTTCCAGTATTAATCTGCCCTCAGCTCCCAGCTTCCTCCCATCAACGCTGACCTGAATGCTGATAGAGGATGTAGATCCATGGCTGACAGTAATAACACAAACAAATCTGTGAAATTGTCACATTTCATTTGATAACTTGATTCTCTCTCTTTGTCTCTTTATTTGTAA